TTCCACCTTCCCAGAAAAAAGCTCAACAAAGCTCAACAAAGAAAATCAGTCAGTTCCTCCAAGGAGTTCACAGCAACTCCCCCTGCTCAGCCAGCCAAAGGCCCAGTTTGATGCAATGGCAGCAATAAGAAAGTGACTAAACCTTTGCTGGTTTCAAAGCTCTTCAGGGGAAGGATTTCCACTTCCCTGAAAGTGTTCCTTTAGGTGGGGAGAGAAACATCAGAGAAGCCCCACTTGGATGGATTCAGGAGACCAAGCCTCCTGAAGGACACTGCACCGAGCACCTCCTCACTCACAGCCCTGCCTGTGCTCAGGCCACCCTGAGCTGGCCAGTGAGCAGGGACCAGACCTTGTCCTGCTCATGCAGGGACCAACGGGACCAGCCAGGCCGGCAGCACCACCTGGGAACCTCAGTCTCCTGGGAATGGCTGTCATTTCAGGAATGTTAACAATTACCCTCCTGTGGCCACGGGTCACAGGCAAAGCCTCCCTGGGCACCTGCCAATCCATAACTGAACCTTTCTCCTTGTGTTTAAATTCCTCTCCAAAGCTTTCCTAAAAAGGACAGGAGAGATTCAGTGCCCAAAGGATTCATAATCCAGAGCAGCTGAGTACAAAATGCTCCCAAACTGTACCCCCAAAACAGTCAAACTTCTGACCTTGGCTGTCCCATCCCTGGCTCTTCCCACAGTGCTTGAAAACACGAGGAGAAGCCCTGCACACTGAGCCTGCTGCTGAACTGATGGGAGAGATGCTGTCCTGCCTTGGCTCTGCTGCACTTTCTGGTCTAAAGTTTCTCTGTCCTGAAGTTTCTGGTTCCAACCCTCCAAAAAGCAGAAGGTTGTTTAAGAAGTGACCAATCTGCCTCAAGGCTTGGGGCCGTTTTGGGTACCCAGTTTCAGATGATCAGTTTTGTGTATTTGATCTGGAACCTTGTGTAATTAACCTCTGAAAATCAAGAAAAAGCAAACTCCAGTTCCTTTTCCAGTGGACAAGGAAATTTCCATAAAATTTCACATACCCATGAGGGTGAAAATGCAATCAGCTGCAGAAACCTCTCCAGCATGAACCTCAGAGATGTGTCAGTGTGGACCTGGAAATCACAAAGAGCAGTGTTACAGATCAGAAGATGCTGCATATTTTATGCAAAATGTGAGCAAGAGAAAACCTCCTGACATGAGCAGGAATCACATCAGGCTCAGCTGGAGGAATCCATACCATGGCGATAGCACAACTGCTTGAGAAGATTGGGTGTTCCAGACCATTGTCTTCCCATTACTCTGAATCATTGCTGTCCTCAAAAGCAGGACAGGAAAGGTTACAATTTGAGAAACCTGTTTTGGTTTTTTTAAAGACAATCTAGGAGCAGGCAGTAAATTACTGTAATAAACCACAAGCAAGGCAGCCCTGACAACTGTTGTGATTTAAAAAGTTCTAAAGCTGGGGGTTCATGAAGGAGCATTGTCATAAAGACCTAAGAGGTCATGAGTAACAGAGAGACAGAAGATAAGAAACAACTCTGTGCTGGCTCCTCCATCTCCACAGGCAGCAATCCACAAATCAAACTGAAATCTGCAAATTGAACCAGAGCAGCCCAAAAGAGGAGAGGCAGCTCCTCCTGCAACAATTTTCTTAGGAGTCAGCCTGTGTCCATTGCTGCCCCCAGCAGAAGGGGCATCCTGAACACCAGAGGGGCTGGAACACAAACTCCATGGAGAATGAAGTGTGGGCAGCCCAGAGCTGCTCAGAGGAAACCTTTAGAAGCTGATTGTACCCTGCTGAAACAGCACTGAGCTCACCTGGCTTTTTGTTTGATAAGGGATTTATCATCTCTTCAATGATACTGAAAGCAGTATCTGATACTGGAGCTGCATTTGCAGATTAAAAAAAAAAAGTATTCTTAAAATTCTTAAAAGACCAGGCAAATCAAATGTATATAAAGCTCAATGGAAGAGGAGGGGCAGACACTGATCTTTCCCCTCTGGTGACCAGTGGCAAGACCCAAGAGAACAGAGCTGGGCCAGGGCAGGGTCAGGCTGGATATCAGGAAAAGGTTCTTTCCTCAGAGGATGTCAAGCACTGAACAGGCTCCCCAGGGATGGTCACAGCCTCAAGGCTGCCAGAGCTCCAGGAGTGTTTGAATGACATTCTCAGGCACAGGGTGGGATTTTTGGGTCTCTGTGCAGGACCACGGGTTGGACTCTATGATTCTGATGAGCCCCTCCCAACCCAGTAGATTCCACAACTGCATAATTAAGAAATCAATTTGCTTATTCTGCTGTGACAAGGTGAAGTCTAAGGATGGAACCACTCCTCTCAAAGAATTTCTATCCACTCATCTCAAAGTATTTTGCTGAATATTAAAGGCCCAGTGGTATTGCCTCCCCTATCTGTAAGGCTTATGAAAGCAGCAGTGTTTGAAGTCAGACTTTTTTGTTGAAAAGCATTGCACATTCCCTGAGCTGGTGTAGAGTTCAGAGTCCTGCTGCTCACCTCACAGCGCCTTCCAGGAACACCTGATAAACCCCTCTGTTACCCATTAACAATGTCACCCAAGAGCCCATCCATTCTGTGACTCTCTGCTGTGCCAGGGCTCCCTGAGTGCTGTAGGACACGTTACAGATGTTGGGCCAGGTTCACTTGGAATCTGCAAATTCCAGGAAAGTGAAGTTACCACCCAGACAGGGTCAGCACTGCGGCAGCAACAGCCAAGGTAGAGCTTTCCCACTAAACTTTTTACCAGTTCCAAAGATTGTGTGATTATTTCTGGTGGTTTTGACGTGAAAACAAATTAATTATAAAAAGTTATGTGCAGTGCCCACATATCTGATCTTACCTTTAACAGACCAGGCAGGCTGAGTTACTGTATTCTCTTTTCTGTCCCACTTTGGATCATGAACAGAAACCCTGCTGTGAGCAGTCACTAAAATTACTTTAGCCTTTTATGCTTGTGAGCAAACAAAATTTCCCAGTATTCTAAAAAGTGTAAGATCCACAGCTAATTCCAGAGCTACAAAGCACCACAGGAAAGAAACCTGGAATCAGTCTCTGCTGTAGATCCATGCAACAGCACTGTGCCTGCCCATACCCTACACAGGAATCCCAAAAGCACAGACAGGATCCTCCCTGCCCCCAGAACACCAAGTGACAAATGTTCACAGGTACTCAAGTATTTAGGTCAAAAAGCCCTTGGAGATCAAGCCCAGCTATAACCCAGGACCACCAAACCCATCCCTACCCCCTGCCCATCAGCGCCACACCTGCACATCTTGAAAGCACCTCCAGGAATGAGGATTTCTCCACTGCCCTGGGCAGCCTCTGCCAATGCCCAATAACCCTTTTTTGTCCCAGTATCCAATCTGAACCTTCCCTGGCACAACTTGAGGCCAGTTCCTCCCACGCTGTCCCTCGGGAGCAGAGCCTGACCCCACCTACCTGCAGTCAGGGAGCTGTGGAGTGCTGAGGTCTCCCCTGAGCCTCCTTTTCTCCAGGCTCAGCATTCCCAGCTCCCTCAGCTGCTCCTCACAGGCCTTGTGCTTGCAACAGGAACTGGAAAAGTTCAGGGTTAATGTGTGGACACCTTCAGAGTTCATCCCTGGAGAGCATGAGGGTGTTCTGAAGCTCTGTTTGAATCCCCAAAAATGCACATTAGCTTGGATTACAGGCTGTCCCTGCCTGGGGAGCATCACACTGAGCTACCAAAATCCACAGGAGTTCCACATCCCTGTTTATGCTTTGAGGAAGAAGCCTGGGATCTGAAAGAACAAATACTTTATATTTCAGTTCAGTATTAGACAGAATTGCCAGCAGACTAACAGCAGGGCATCAAAACAGCATTTATTGACCTGGTTTAACCACATCCTACCATTACCTGCACCATGCCAGCAACAAACTCTCAGTATCTTACTAGAATTGTGTTGTTATGCAAACAAAATAAGCACATACTATCTCAATTGTATTAAAAAATACCTATTAATTTCACCATAAATATTTACAAGTGACACTTTTTCTTGAAAAGGCTGCTTTAAGCCAGAAAAAAAATTACAAATAGTAAAGGGAATATCTAATAAATTAATTGAAAATCACAATATTTGTCATTGACTGCAAAAGAATCAAAGTTACATTTTTGGTTTTATTTTTTAGGGATAGCCAAGAATCCAAAAATAGTGGTTTGAGTCTAGACCCTTATATAAATCTTGTGAAAGAATTAATTTGCTCCTGCAGTAACAACAGCTGCCACGTTTCCAAACTAATCCAGTTAAAAAAACTGTTCTAATAAAGTCTGTATAATTTTAAGTTATTTATGTAGTCATTTATCTATGAGCTACAGTATTTGCTGGTTTATTTAGAATTCACTTCCAGAGTAGAAAAGAGAAAATGCATTTTACAATGGCAGAATCTCAAATCTCATTTATACAAATAGATTTCTATCAGTTCTTAGAAAATGCCTGTTTATTTCTTCCACTTTGCTCCATGATATAGCCCAAAATTTAGAAAAAGCAGAAGAGTTTATTCTAATAAAGCAAGAGAACTGATGATTTTGGCCCCATGTATGTAAAAAAGAGATCTGAATGCAGGAAATGACATCCAAATTAAATGAAAAAAATTCTATATAGTTAAAAAAAAAGGAAAAAAATCAATCCAAGAAGCCATTCTAGCAAATCACCATCACCAAAAATGCATCGTTTGCCAAAGGAGTCATATCATCTGTAAGATGCTCTGTTAAGCAGAGGAAGCCACTTCATGTCCAGAGTCCTCATGAGGACAGGGTGGCTCCCCAGCAGCACAAGGATGACATCTAGTGACAGCCACATCCATCTGTTCCCAACTCCAACCTTCCTAAAAACACCAGCCCAGGCTGCCACCCTCACCTGGAGTGAGAGGTCAGGGTTGTACCTACATTTAAATGCCTGTATTAAAAAGATGCACATCTATCAGACATCTTCAAATGCTTTCCTTTCATTACCTGAATTTAAAAAATAAACCAAAACCCAAACATGAAAAAAATCTCTAATTTTATGATATATAATGTATGCAAAAATTTGTTTAAACTTTCAATACCAGAGATAAAAAGATCCTCTTGCTATATTAGTGCTATGTTGTTCTAATGCAACCTCTGAAGTGCCATGTTCTTGAGTCATTTGCTGTAACTGGGATACAATCCTTGCAAAAGCTGTTCCCAAAAGATCATCCTGCATAGCATTTACTTACAAAGCTATAGTACAGAGAGGTTTTAAAAAGTCACACACTCAAGCAGTAGAAAATTCTCCCAATCTCTCCAAAAACATAAAAAGATGCTCTAGACTTTTAACATTTTTTCACCAACAGACAGTGCAAGCCTCACTCTGGAACCAAGACTATCCATTCACACTTCTCTAGTTAGTAAAGAACCTGGGACAAGACCAAAGTGCTTTATTACAAATAGAGCATTATTTTTCTCTGGTTCTATGCACTGCCTCTCTAATAATACATTACAAATAATACAAAACAGTAATTAAGTTTGTTGCTCTTTTCTTATTCCCTTCTCATGTTTGTGTATTGGGAAAAATGAGTGTTTTTCTCAAAACATTCTCTTCTGTTTATTAGGGTGATCCAACCCCAATCCTTGCTCCCAGAACTGTAGGCTTCATTTTCACCTTTGACTGCAAAAATTGCACTGCTGAGAAGTGCAAGGAATCACAAACTGCATCATTTGAGCATTACAATACCTTATTTTACAACTGTAGTGTGTGTGCAAATTGTTATTTCAATTAAATTTAATAGTTACAAATATTCTCAAACCATATAAGTACAGTAGGTTCTACAGAAAGTAACATGGATAACTAATATTCTGCAACTTGAAACAAAACAATAAATAAAAGTTCAAAGTATTAAAACTAAGAAAAAGTAATCCTGTACATTGTACAGTACCTTTTGGTTAAAGCTTCTTAGCAAAAATATACTAAAGTGTTCTGAGCATTCCAGTTACAGATGGTTCAATATTAAAATTTCAAGGTTTCCTCATCATGAAAAAAATATTGCATTTGTCCATAGGTGCAGCAGAAGATGTCTCTCTCTGAACAAGGCTCCAGTCTTTAAAAATTCAGAGACAGCAAGTCTGGATTCAAAGGAACCATTAGAAAACTCCATTACAGTACTGAGGATGTAGGGTTGTTGTGCATGGGGGTTTCTGCCATTCCTTGCTCCCAGAACAGCCCTAGAGAGCCCACTGGATGTCACTGAGGTCAGCTGGGTCCCCCAGGCCCCCGTCAGCCTCCAGGTAATTCATCAGCGCCGTCATGGCGGTGTCATCGTTCCCGCAGATGGCATCGAAGTCCAGCTGGGAGCTGCCACCTGCACAGTGGGCAAAGCAGGAGCTTGAGGCAGGCATGAGCACTGGGAGGCATGGAGAACACGGTAACTTGCAAAACAGAAGTGGTTTGAAGCACAACCTGCCTTTGAAGTCAAGGCAAATATTTCTATGTTGAAAAAACCCCTAACTTGACTCCCTTTTAGTCTAACACCATTCCTCCTTGCTCTGTGTTGTTGGGGTTGTTTTTAATCATTTTTTCCCAAGCCCTTATTAAAGAATTAGCTTTTTCTCCTTTGTGTTTCTTTTTCACTTGGTTGGTTTGGGGTTGTCAGGGTTTAAGTTTTTAAATTTTTCTGAAAAGGCTCATAGTTCAACCAGAAGAAAGCTGTATGTTATAAATAAACAAAGAAATCCCTGGCAAACGAGGGAGAAGAGGAAGATGGAAAAGTTTCTAAGAGCTGAAATACAGGATCAGCATAAACATGGCTTTTACAGCATTTTGCCTTTTATGTCAAACATAATGCAGTGGCATTTTCCTCTTACAGGGCCAGGAATCCTGTATCCAGACAAACTTAACAAGGGAAAGATTTAAAAAATTCTTTCTCAGCCATTTGGAGCAGTCCTATATATCAACTACTCCCAGCTTGCGGCTTAGAAAGACGTAAAGTGCTAAAGGACAATCATTCACAAATTCCAAGAAGTTCCCTGACATTGCATTGAAATACTTTTCCCTCCCTGTCTCTGTCCTGGAGAGAGAACAGTAAGGTGCCTCATGAAAAGTGTAAGAATGCAATAGTAAACTTCAGTTACAGCTGTTGTTTTTTGTCATGAGATTGCCTCACTTAGCAAATTTTGCTGTTTGCCTTGCAGCAATAACATCTGTTTTCAGAGTGCTCTCAGCTTCAGCCAGCCACATCTCTTTACAATTCACACATGGTTGTAAAGTGGTGCACTCAGAAATGACACCAAGGATCACAAATGTCAGCCCCTGCAACCCCCAGAATAGCCCTAAGAGAAATAAATCTTACTCAGGAGAGGTTCATTACTGGGAAATGGAATAGCACCCTGGCTTTGTTCTGAATTCTCCAGAGCTTCTGTTTCTGAAGGACATAACTGAATCAACTCTTTATTTGGCACCTGAAAGAGCAGAATTGGTAGAAAGGAAAAAATTAGATCCTAAATTTAGTCACAGATATTACATTACAGAAACATCAGAGATTCCTTAATTATTAAGAACTGAATAGAGAAAGTGAAAAATATACCTCATCAGACAGATATTTTGCATTTAGAAACAAATATTTTATAAGTTCATATAGCACTGGACCTGGCTTAAATAAAAGTTGTGACTTACACAGCTGTCAAAGTACTTCACAGTGATGGCACTGCTTGAGGGTCTAACTCAGTGTTCAGTAAATAAATCCAGCACCAAATGTACTGGTTTGCACTTTCCACATCCACTACCATAAACTACAAATTCCCAGTGACCTGATGTTTGTCACTGTCAAAACATTCCAGTTAAGAAGTTAAAAAAGCCCCCATACCTCCTAGGTTCTATATGCATTAAACTATATTCATCATAGCAATAGAGATGGTAACCCAAACAAAGATAATTTTTTTTCCTGGTAGTTGTTTTATTTAACACATACATGTAATTTAGCAGGAGAGATTCCTAGGATTGCCTGACTTGTGTACATTCTAGCAGGAAATTAATAAAGGTGAAATGCTTTCCAAAAGTATTTTAGAATCAAATGGGGTACCAAAGCCTAGAATCAAGAAAAAATCTTCAATGCATATGATGAAATTATCCTTATGATGAGACATTACATAATTTAGAGTGTTCAGCAGAAGTAAGTCAAACAACTCTTCAGGAGAAAGATCTGTGGTAACACAGGGGAGTACAGATCGTAGAAAAACAGCGGGAAGTCAAAAAGCAGCTCCTAGACCAGAGTAGTGGGGTTTTTCCATAAGAAATGAGAATTGCAGTGGAAAGATAAACTCTATTTAACAGGAAAGAAATTTGCATTCAAAGAGCTGTTGGAGAAGTTTGTTCAGGCTGTGGCCAGTACAAAACATACAACACCTTTAGGTAAGAAGATATGTTAATTATTCCATAGCTATGGGCAGTAACTATGTTATTTATTATAACTATGTTAGTTATAGTTTGTAGTGTTACAGGCACTAGTAGATTTACAAGCACTACTAGATCAGCATAACTACCCATTTTTAGAAGAGTAATGAAATACCTTCAAAGTCACAATTTTAAGCATTTCAAAACAGCAAAGATTTTTTTTAAAGTCTCTTCAAAAGCATTAAGATTAAAAGTACAGATTCACAAAAACAAATCAGGGCAATCTGGCTCAAACACAGGTTGTGTGCTGACATTAACCTTTCCATTTTGGGTTTTTACAGGCAGGGGTGTACTCACATCACTGCAGTTTATAGTTAAAGCTGGAGAAGGTGACTTTCTGAGCAGATGTGACGGACTTAACTCTCCAGATGGTGAAGAATGCAACCTAAAATTGCATGTGTTTAGTTGATTTACCAGGTCACATTAATCAAACACTGAAAAACAGACTGTGGTGCAGAACCCACCAGACCTCCCCAGTGACAAAGCACAAGTCTGATAATTTGAAACAATAATGTCTTAAATTCTCCTGAAGATTCTAAATTATCCTGCTCCAAGTTCTGGTAGCAGAAAACAGAGGAGAGATCAGAAAAGGCCATGGGTCACAGTTCTATTCCTTGAGCACAGTTTTCTTCCTCTGTTGAATCACCAGCACAGTTGTGTGCTCTGCCAGGCACGAGACTGACATAATTATAATGGTATCTCATAATGCTATTGCTCAACCAAAAAAGTGTTGTACATAGAATACAATAAAAGTGAAACTGGAGCAACCCTCATGTAATCATATAATTCCTCATGCCTATCTTTACTTAAAAGCCTAATGATGGTGTTATGCATTTATTACCTTTGTAATTCTAGTATTTCATTTGCAATTTCAGTTCCTATACTTCCAGCACCAAGAACTGTTCCAGAGGACATTCCAGGTACACTTACTAAAGACTGTTTTACAGCATCTGTAGATAAAAAAAACAAAGCCCAAACAAAACCTTAAACCCAGAGCACTTTCATTGCAGAGCAAGGATTCATTTTAAAGTAGCTCTTGTTCTAGATATACATATACAAGTGTATATTTTCATGTATGTATTCAGAAATTATATTCCTTTAAATACTGATTCATGGCAGAGGGCGTTGTAATATAAAGTGAAAAATCTGTTTGTGAAAATTGTTGTTCTCCAGTAGTGAAATATATTTAATCATTGCCACCTCCAGTGTCTCTCACAGGCATTGCAAAGAACATGAGTTTAAAATACCCTTGGATTTCTCACCAACTGAAATCAGTTATTGAAAGAACATTTTGAAAAGCAAATATAAAGCCTTGACAGCAAGATGATAGAACAGCCTGCAGAAAGCAGAAATTTGCACAGCAGAAAAATAATAACAAAATATGTTCTGTATCAGTATTCCCCTGTATTTTATAGATAAACTCAGCACAGTTACATCTGTTCCAAAAACTGGGCAAAATATGAACTGTCTGTGACAGAAGCACAATATCCTACTAACCAAATCCCCAGCTCTAACAGAAGCTGCTGGAAATTGAAAATAGGCTATATGCACTTCCTTTTGGAGTTCTGTGAATTATATCAATTAGGACTCTGTAAGTAACTAGACACTGAAAAAGAAGTAGCTTTAAAAAAGAAAATTATTCCTTCTTTGCATGCAATCTAGAATAAAATACTCCTGGACTGGATAAATTTAAACTGAGTGATCAGGAGATGCAGCTGTGATAACTGTAAGAAGTGACACTTGCCTTCTGCAGATTGGGAACTGTAGAGGACCTCTTCTTCAGCTGATTCCTTATGACCTCTGAGATTTAAAGAAATGAAAGAAAAATCCAAACAAACCACAAAGAGTCAGCATGATTTTTTGTCCCAAGAGCAAAATTTATGTTCAATTTCAACAATACTTTACACAGAACCAAAGCTAACATCCTCAAACTAGAGGAATATAAGATATTCATCACATATTTCCATGTTCAATTCTTTGAAATGTTTCTGAGCAGTGGGTAAAATACTAATTTCCATTTATTCTCCAATTTAAAAAGAAAGCCAGTAGGATTGTCTGTGTTCCATGACAAGGGAATAGGGCTGTCATTTTTAGTGTTAGGAGGGAAATCAGGTAACCAGGAACAAGGACAGGTCAGTGGCTGCCTGGTGTCAGCAGCTGCTGCCCTCCTTCCCTCCTGCACACAGCTGCAAATGCCCACATCTCCAGGGCAGGCAAAAAAGTGTCCTTCTGTTTTCTTGGGGAAAAAGGACATGGGCAAAAGAGGTGGGTGATGTTAACCTAAGGCATGAATCAGATACAGAATGGGTAAAAGGCCCCCTCAACAACTTTGTTTAATGGAAATAAACCCCCCTGTGTCCCTGCTCAAAACCCCAATCATTGGCAAAGATCCTCAGTAGCACTGGAACAATCCCAACTACAGCTCCTTTGCAAGGTGCAGAGAATGAAAAAGAACTACAAATAAAAAGAAGAATTAAGCACACACATTTACTGTCCCCCAGGCTCCACCCTTGCAATCAATTTGAGTGGATCTTTCTGTCCTGCCTTGCATTTCCACCATCTATCAATTGTGCTTCTCCACCTTCTGACACCTGGGGATAGGGCAGCACTTGGAACTGGGTCAACTGACACACAGAGGGTTGTAAAGACCAGAAGGAAATGCAGAATTAACTTGACAGTTCCATTTATTAAAATCTACTTCTCTTAAAGATCCTTCCCTTCTTCCTTTAACAAGAAACTCTTTAATCTCTTTTTTCCCCTACTGGGAAACAGCACAGTTTTCAGAGTCAAATCCACAACATAGGACTGAAAAAAAATAACTGGTAAATGCCAAAAAGATGTTTGTCCAAGTTGTTCAGCCCCTTTTTGTGCAAGATTGATGCTTTCTAGTCTTGTTCTGCTTTCTAAGCAGGTTATTTTAGTGCTAACTAAATTAATTATGACAAAAAATAAATGAAGAGTCATGTAAATTACTTACAATACCACAGTGTTGTTTGATACTATGTACTCCAGCTCTTTGGTCCAAGGATTCATGAAACTAAACCACTGACTCTTTAAAGTAACAAAAGTCCCATCTTTTGCTCTAAATTTGTAGGAATTTGTAAATACTTTTTCTTTGTTCTGCAACACTAGATAAGAAAAGGAAAGTTATAATCATTATATTTAAGCTTACAAAGGTAAAGTTAGAAATAATAAATCTATTTTATAGCATCATAAAACCAAAATGTTTCTGTTGGCCAGACATAGAATAAACATGCCAGAACAAACTGGGACCTGTTCTAAAATCAAATTATATAGTTTCAGCAGGGTCATAAATCTTACATAAATAAGCAAGTACTAAGTTCCTGCAAAACACTAGGAGACTCATGACTTGGTGAGCTTTAATTAGTGTCTTTAATGATGTTATCAGACACATCTGCTCTTCAGGATTCCTCCCCTTTCTTACAAAGAATGGAAGCAGAGGGTTTGACAGATGTGCTGACATTATTCCTCCACAAGTAAGGCCCTGCACCAGGAGCCAAGACAACACAAGTTTGTCTCTGCTTTTATTCCAAGCCTTACACAGGCTTGTCTTAACACAGACATCACACAGGGCCATGCTGAGGTTGGGTAGTTTGGGTTTGCAGTGTTCTCACTTGCAGTTACACCTAGCTGTAAGTAGTCTGAGAGGACCAACTGTTTTGTACCTTCTTTGTGTTTTTCAGCTAGGTGATTGTGATCATCTTGATGGCAGTACTCATAACAAGAAGTTCCTAGAAGCTCTTGTGGCAGATACCCTAAAATTGCTGTTGCGCTGTTAGAAATAAAAACGTGAACTACAGCAGACTCAAAGCTGTTTCCTTCAGTATCAGATAAAGCAGAGCATTAATATTTAAACAAACAGATGCCTGTGTTCATGTTTGGGAAAAAAATATAGCATTAGTACAGCTCTAAAACAACAGGAAACATTTTTCACAGCAAATTATCCCTTTGCAATGAATGACAATTCGAAGGTAAAGTAAATGTTTAAACATGCAAACCACATGTACACACAAAATGCTTCTGTTTAGTGGCTCTCCCTTAGCCAGTCACAGTACTGGTCACACATAAGAGTCAATAAAAAACTCAGCACTTGAATTTTGCTCTTCCACTCACTGGAATTATTGTCAAACCGACACTTTTAGTAGAAGGAAAAGAAGACTGAAAGCAGTAACATTTCCAGGGACAATGAAATTCCAAATGCAAAATGGTAACTAGGTCTCTACAACAAATAAAGTCTGGTTCAGAAAGTAGAGAAAATGGGAACTTAGTTCTCACTTCTAATAAAATAATTTGGTACCTCACTTAGAATGTATTTGTTACAAATAGTAAGACTCTCAGAAGTAATAACTTCTGGGTAAATGTTATTACTTCAGTCTTGTGCAGAGCTACGAAGCTCTAACTTGAGATTTTTCTTTATGAATAAATTGAGTCCATTTTCTATAGGACAATACACTTCTATACATTATGTATTATTTGACAAAAAACAAAGCCCAAGTACACATAGTTTAAGAATTAACTGCTTCTTGTGTAGAGCAGAAAAACATTCTGAAAATTAGAATTTTTGAGAATTTTCAAAAAATTCTCAAAAACTGAGAATTTGAATTAGAACTTCTGCCCTGCTGGAGAAATTACAGATTTGACAGAGGATCAGGAAATGGAAGCAGTTGTGTCATTTCTCTTCATTAAAGAACAAAAGGCTTACCGCTGATCTACATAAACAAATTTTCCATCCATGGCAAATCGTGTAACAAATTCTGTTGCTTTGACTTTTATCTCTCCACTCTTTTGTGGAACAATATAAGGGTGTAACCTCCCAATGGCAACAAGACAGTTAAAGTTACTACTGTCCTTTTCTACATCATTTTCCTCTTCTACTCCCACCTCATTAGGAGGCCAGTTCTTCAAATACCCAGTACAGTGAATGGTGCAGTATTTTCTGTGATCTAATAGAAAGAAATTAAATAAGAAGCAGTTATTGTTCAAAGAGTAAACCAAACTACTTATTTTATTATGTTGGCCATGAGACCAGCAAATTAATATTTCATGCTTACCTACACCAACTGTACAAAGCTATAGATCATTTTAGAGTATTTTTCAATTATTTTTGTTCTATTCAATTTGGGCTTACCTGCAGAGAGAGCTTCTAACCCTATGTAAGATTTAGGAAGATGAGTTATGGGTACTGGCAGTTCAAATACAAGTCAGACAGAAAACAAAGCAATAACCCACAGATCACTCTGTTTTTATATGGATTGTGAATTAAAATTAACCTGAGGCCTTCTGTAGCTTCTAAATCAATTTACCTTTGGTGAGCACAATGACCTGAACATATGCTCACTGCAGTTGAAGAAAGAATCAGCTTATTTTCTATTTATCTCTGGTTTCTGAAGTTTTGTGGGAATACAAATATTTTAAATATCTTAAATCCCAGCATACACTGTCATTCCCTTTTTGCCCTCTAAATAACATGAAAACACCCTCATAAGCATCAAGGTTTGACATTATGTATCCTACAATAGGTGTCTTTCCCAAAAAAATGCCAAAGCACTCTTGACACCTCTATGCTGAACAGAATGCTTTCCATAGCTTTGATTTTCCTCTCTATTACAAAAAACACAGACCAACTCTGCAAAATGAGAAACTGAGTTATCCCACTACGATTTTGTCACAGTTGCTCAGGTGCCTTCCCTCAAAACTGCTTTCCCAACACTTAGAGAAGGTAAATTCTTATCTAACTGAGTTATCTGATGCATCAAGGGATATCAAATTCTACTTACTTACAATCACGGGCCTCTTAAAATTTGTGGTGTATCTCAACAGTAACAGGTTACATTGAAAAACAGAACTTGGAGGAAAAACAATTTCAGCACACCTTTGCAAAAATCAATACTAAGTTATTAAAAACAAAAGCTGGAAATTGCATTTTAAAATTGAAATTTAAATTTTCACTGGAAACTTGACAAGATTACACTGCTCTATGGGCATACCAAAATACGAACTAAAGTAAAATTACTGGGAAAATTAATGGAATTACACCAATAAATTAACTTTACCATGAAAAGGGGGGAAAAGGAAAACGCATACTTTTAAATACAAACAACACAAAAAGTAAGTCAGAAAAAAAGTTGGTTTACTTGCTTTTTTCCCTTCAAAATAGTAGAGTTTGTAGGCTTTATTCACCCAGTTATCTTCAAGACATAAGTTTAGTTTCATTCTTCTGATCTGCTCCAGTTCTTTCAAATATTTCCCTGAGACTTCACAAATTTGATCACAACAGACCACATGCTCCTATAGAGCCACTGTACCTCAAGTTCCTCCCTCCCTCTTTCCAGGAGGGCACCAGGAGGAGAAAGAGAACAATTAGACTGTTTTTCAAAAGGTGTCCCTGGTTCACATTTACACTGCTCTACAGCTACTTGATGAGATCAGTAGGAACTAGAAAGCCATTAGTGACTTGGAATTTAAACAAGTTTCAAGAGAGAAAGCCCCCATTTCATCTCCACTCTCTGAATACCTTTCTTCTTTGGGTTGGGCAAACACTCCTTCTCCTCTTTGACTGTGGTCCTGCTACACTTTATGCGACAGAAGAAGGAACGTCGAGCACCAGAGTTCAGCCGAGCTGGTCCAGCTTGGAAATCTGTGTGTACTTGCAAGCCAGCTTACAAAGATTTAGTAAAGTAGTTAAAAACAACCAAAACAAAGCAATAAAACTTCAGAAAACAAGGTGCTTTCTGCATTTACCTCCCAGTACATTGTCCTCGCTGTTTAGCTGCCTAAATTTTGTACTTACAATTTAAAAAGTCTAATAGTTTAAATAGGGCAAAGAAAACATGATTGACAGAGATTCCAAAATTAGAAAGAACTACTAAACTATTTATAGACCCTTCTTGATATTCTTAATAGAATTTTACTACAGATGCTTTATAAACTTTCATTTTGTACAAGGAAGAACTGTAAAGATGCTTGTAAAAGCCAGCTATAAAATAGGCATTAGCTGCACAGTACACAAAACAGGCATTAGCTGCATAGTACACAATGCTTTCCTCATTAGAAACAACTGTAAACTAAAGAAGGTTTGGTTACTTTGGGATTGACACTTAGCATTTTCAGAGAAGACAGTGATTCTTGATATTGAAGTATTTTATCCCATGTTCGACTACATCAGGTCTTTTGTATTGACAAGACCTAGCAAATACAAGAAAAAAAAGCAGTATGCTGGTAGGAAGAATGTCAGACCACATCTTGGTAAATGCTTAACAGTGATTGCAGTAATTTAACAGAATTTCTGTAACTCCTATGATCTACAATCAATTCTCTTCTGGGCTAGCTTTTCAACTCTAATGCATTTTAAGCAGCAGATACGCATTCAAATGTTTGCTTCTTTTGTTCATCCACACATCCATACAAACACCTGAATACATCCTGACTAATAATTAGATTTATTAACATCTCTTAAAAAATATAAGCACATCCAGCTCTGACTTACTTTTGCCATCTACGAGCTTCTCCCTAGGTGAGACGTCCGATGAAGAAAGTTGCTCCTTAACTTTTGCAACATCTTTTGGATGTAAGTAATCAAATAAGCTTTGTCCAATTAAACTGGCCTATTAGAAAAAACAAAAAAAAACCAACAAAATCCAAAAGAGATGAGAACCACACCATTTTGGAACAGGACCCCACACATTACTTATCTCAGGAAAACAACTGTCTACACCACTAAAAAAAAAGCCAATACCACAGTTACTCCAAACATCAATATTTTGTTTTACATTTCATTTGTCATTGTTTAATATAAGTTTTATTTAAAAGGGTAATAAAAACATAGTTTGTTCCTTCCCTTTGAAAAACAGCATATTTAGTTGGAGGTCAAACAAGTTCTGTACAACCAAATGCTTTATTTATGTAAACAATGCAATTCCTGGTCCTAGCCAAAGAAGGTTATACACAAAGTAATTTCACTCTCAGATTATTGGGGAAGGAGGGAAGAAATAGAAAGGAGGATGAAATATTCAACTATCTAATGACTCTGAGGCATAATGTGGTTGGACAAACTGGCACCACAGAGCCAGGAGCAGGCTGGAAGCAGGGCTCAGCTCACCACAGCACTCCTTAGCAGAGGATATTTTCAGGGATGTCTCCAGCTGGCATCCTTCTACCTGCTCACTCTGTTCATCCCAAGTAACTGACCTGCTGCAACACTTTCTTTTGGAACAGGAAGGAATTCTCACAGAAGTGGGAGTTTGCTTTTCCACTGCTTACCTTCAGCACAGCACCCAAATCAAAGGACATAAAGGAGCTGTGTGGACAAGCTCTACTCTAACTCAAACTCAGGACAAACACCCAGTCTCCTGCCTTTTCCCTGTCCCCATTTAATCCCAATGCAATGGGAAAATGCTGAGGGCTGCTGAGACAGCCTAACAGCAGCCTTACCAAAATATACAGGTGTAATAAACCAGATAAAGCTGCAGCATGGGATTCAGAGCCTAGAACAACTCCTACACAAGCTAATAAATCCATGGGTTTTGATTAAAGTCAGTCATGTCCTCTGAATCTCCTTGTCTGGAATACAGGAGATCTTAAGGGTCTAGAAGTAGGTATGTCTAACATGAGTGGCACTTTCAGTTCTTGAACAAAATCAGTGTAGAAGTTAAAAAAAACCAACTCTGATTGATGCTTATTCCCCTACAGGCTAGAATTAAGGAGGAAGTTTTTCACAGAAAGAGTGGTCAAATACTGGAATCATCTACCCAGGGAGGTGGTGGAGTCACCATCCCTTGATGTGTTTAAAAAAAGACTGGATGTGGCACTTGGTGCCATGATCTAGTTGAGGTATTAGAACATGGGTTGGACTCGATGATCTTAAAGGTCTCTTCCAACCTAGAAATTCTGTGATTCTGTGATTCATTTAACTTTAATTAAAGAAGATAGTTTTGCACTTAAAAAAAAAAATCTATGAAAGACTCCAGATTGGTTATCTGTACATTTATAAAGAAAACTAAAATAGCACAAACGGTTTCAAAGTTACAAAAGTAGACAGATGGCAGCACTAACTGTTTTAGCCTCTGTTTGTGAAACAGAAGTCATTGATAGAGGAAGAAATTATCATCCCTGGATTATTTGTGGTAATTTCCCATCATGCTAAACACCAACTAATGGAAAGTACATGTATTTTGGCAATTTCCCTGGCTGTACAGGCTATGCTGGCTGCCATTCAGTTTGTCTCAGGTTAGGGGTACATACTTGGACAGTTACTGTGGGTGATGTGTTATGTGGTGCATGCCAGCATAAAGGCACACCAAGGAAAGCTTTCATTAACTTCCACTGCTCAACTACCCATTTTCCTTGGCCTAAAAAAACCCTTAAAATCACTTCACTATGTGAAAGAAAATCTCTTGCACACAGAAATTAGGACATCTTCAAATTATCCCTTCCTCTCAGACTGGCAGTTTTCTTAAGGATGATCAGCTGAAATCTGGTGCTGTTCCTCAGGTTGGGAACACTGATGTACTTGCACATATTTTCTTACAGGATATTCAGCTTTACTCTGAATAAGGTTAAATCAAAGAAATTCCAAGAAATTATACACAAGGATTGGTTTGATGTAATATAAAATAAAATATAAAAATTTTAAAATTCCTAAGAAAATGCAAGGTAAAAGCAAGCAAGAAACAATAACCACCTGATCATAATTCAGTATTTTGCAAACTGATTCAGAGACAAACAGAATTTTTCCTCTGTTGCATCCAACCACAAACAGGAATCCATCTGCAGCCTGAAAATATAAAGATACTGTCTTTAAAAACACACAATTAAAATAAACAATGAATATTAATGACTACAAGGAAGCACACTTTTAATCCTGATTTTTAAAATTAAATACAAGAAAGCTAGAGAGGGGCAAGAGGAAATGGCTCCACACTGACAGAGGGTGTGCTTAGATTGGATATCAGGAAGAAATTGTTCCCTGTGAGGGAGCTGAGGCCCTGGCACAGGCTGCCCAGAGATGCTGTGGCTGCCCCTGGATCCCTGGAAGTGTCCAAGGCCAGGCTGGATGGGATCTGAGCAACCAGAAATAGTGGAAGGTGTCTTTGCCCATGGCAGGGAGTGGAATGAGATGAACTTTAAGGTCCCTTCCAACTCAGGCCATTCTGTGATTCTAAAAAAAAAGCAATTAAGATTGCAAGGACCAAACGAGGCCTTCAACCACACACAGCTAAAGTTTCTTAAAGACATCTTTGGCAAAAGTCCAGCTACAAAACAGCTTCTTTTGGGAGCCACTCTTGGCAAAGTAGATCTTGGCAAAGCATTGTGGCAGCAAAGGAAAAAACCCACAAACCTAGCTGTGAATGAGGCGTGTGGGTTTATGATGAAGTGTGCAAACAAGAGGGAAGATTTTATTCCAGGTATTTTCTGCACCTTTTGCAAAGCACATCTTTAAAAATGTCTATTTTGGTAGGACAGCCAACAACTGTGAGAATGTTCCTGCATAATTGGCAGCATTCTCTGCAGTTGCATGAAGATTTTTAGAATGGATGTAATAAATAGGCAGACTGCACACAGATTATTGTCCCTTCCAGGGCTGCTGCCTGCCATGCTCCTAAACCACCCCTGCACACCTTCATGAAAGCCTGGGTAGTGCACAGAGTTTAATTAGTACAAGAAAACACTTGTCTGAAGGAAATGATGGGAGAAAAAGCACTGTCCAACTAAAAACTGAAGCTTTAACAAGAACATGATTTATCTGAGAGTTTCCCTCCACTCACCCTCAGGATTAACTGCCGCAGTTCATCATCCTTCAGAAATGAAGGTTTATACCGCACTTCTGAGTAGGAGCTGCTGGAACCTGGAAAATGGGTCATTCACAGAGATCATGGCAAAAGTTACATTTTAAACTCACTTTTAGCAGAGCTATACTTGTTATGTCTTTTAGAATTTTTCTCTATGACCCCAACAGCTGAATTAAAAAAATAATTCAAGGCTCAAGAAATACTAAAAATAAAATTAAAACAGATTTCAAACATAGCTGGTAATGAAAACAGATACATATAACTGTTTTTTTTCTTGCCCTTTATTAACACAAACCAAGCAAACTTCTGTTCAGATATCATTAATGTACTGCAAGAGAAATGGTATTAGGAGAAGTGAATTTTCTAGAAACATTTCATAGGTATATTTCAGACCTCTTAACTAAACTCTCCTTCCTGAAACAGAATAATTCCAATATTATCAATTATCTTTTGGCATTAATAATGCTTCAGTATTACTATAAAGCTAACAATCAAAAAGCCAAACTATTGTAGTTAAATTGAATGTCTCACTAAATATAGTGAGACTGATTCACTGCATGTACTGTTCTAGCACCCATGGCAAGTGCTCTGTAAATTAATTTTTGTTCATTACACTTTTATCCATTAAATTTTTTTGGTGCTACATTTTTTGTAACAGTTGAACACTTCAGCCCATTTCATCATGTACTATAATTCCACATAGTATATTGTATTCTCTTGAACCATTTGTTTTGAGGTAAATACAACTGTGCTGGGTGAAGTCCAGTGTTTACATCCTGTTGTTAAAATACAAATGCTTGAGCTGAAGATTTCTTGTTTAACTGCAAGTGCAGTTACTGTCCTGCTGGTTTACATTATTTCCTGCTGGTTCACAGGACTTCTTCATGCAGACTCTCAGTCCTTTAGAAAAACCTCAAAACCCTTTACACCTGAGCCATTTCTATGATTCTACTACTGCCAAGGCAGCAACTTAATTAATTTTCTACACTTCTTTGACCCAAAACTAACTGGGTCCTCCTTAGACCTGTTTATTCATAATCAGTGGGTTTTGCAATGCAGAGGGTCTTTGATCTTTGCTTAGAGTTGATCAAATTATTATTCTGAAACAGTGGTGCCAAAACACTTAAATATTCTGTGCAGCTGATACAAGTTGCACATTGCAAAGTTTATTTGGATATATTTTTTCGGGGGAGAGGGGAAAAAAAAATCCAAAAACCTAGCAATAGCAGAAGGAGAGCAAAGAATATTTCCTGGGCTGATCCTCACACTAAAGCATTCCCTAAGATCCATTATTAACTTTCTCAGCTGACTGGACTATCAGAAGTTTCTGTTTCTTGCTACTATCTACCATGTGAGGGTTTTTAAGACTTTAATGCAATCAAACTCACTGACCATTTTGTTAAATTATTTTCTGTCTTGCAACCTTCCTTTTGACTCCTGTACCTTCTAAAAAGGATCAAGGAGTAACCCAAAAGCAAGGCATGCTCTGAGCAGACAGGAAATATCAGAAACTGAAGGGTGGCTTTTTTTCTGCTGTACTAAGCAACAACTTAAAATTACGTTCTGACAGCTACAGACATGAACACTTAAATGAGGAGCAGACTCGGAACTAAATACAGTAAGGAAATGTAAAATAAAACACTCTTGGTTTATTTAAAACCTGGGAAGATACACACAGCAACTCCTACTAGAACAAGGATTTACAGGATGATGTTTCCCAAACTCACCTTTTAAAGACTTCAAGTGCTGCACAGCCATCCGTAGCACTGTGAGCTTGTCCAGCTTTCGGGCCATGGGATTGCACTGTGGTATCATGGCAGACAATTCCTCTATCAAATTATTCATTTTGTCTCTTCTTCTTTTCTCTGTCTGACTGTGAGCCTCTCTAAGAAGAAAAATTATTTTGAAAGAGTGATGTAGGACACATGATTGTCCCCATAATACTCAGTTTCATTTTGGGAATGGAACTATCACCAGTACTACTGCCCTGAAGCAGTTTTTCATATGCTACTTGTATTGGACAATTGAATTGGATTCACTTCAAAAAAGATGAATTGGTCCCAATAATAATGGGAAATACTGAGGAGAAGAGATATCCCAAGCAACAATTTGATTATATTTGGCAGGAACAAGAGGTTATGAAGACTTCTAAAACATAAACCTTTCTTGAGACCCTTGCCATGCAAGTGATGACTTGGACACTTCAGTGTGTCCCAGAGAAGTCTTGATGTCATTGGGAATCAGTGAAAGACATTCCTGCTCCCACCTCTGTCTGGCCTGTGTGACTAAGATAGGGTGCTCATTCTGCTGCCTTTTAAGAAACCCCACAGCAATAAACAATACTTTTCCACATGCTTCTAAGAGATGGAGTGGAAACTGAAAAAAACAAGTTGTGCCTTGTGCAATTGACCAGAAGTATCCCAGAAAGCTTTCCTGATAAGGTGGTACAAAGGCTGTCTCAGGTTTCATCTCTCGGTACGCCTGTCAAGAACTCAGCCACAGAAAGAGCTTCTCTTCTCAGCCAGTTTTGATCAGGAAACTCCTTCTAGGGCACATGGCTGCACATCACAAGTGCATTTATAGCTCAGGTCACCTTTTCTTTACTTCTTTCTAGTGCACTATGTCAGCTTTTCAGCCCATCTCCTACCCTCTAATACCCTCCAGCAGATCAAGGAAAGTTTCCTTCACTCTCTTCCTCCTCACCCAGAAGACAAGCCAGCCACTCAATTAAAGCCCAGATGATTTTTCTTTCTGATTGAGACCAGACACAGTAGTATAGTTATGCAAAATGAGGAATAAGTTTTGGTTAACTGATCTCCAAAACTTTTCCTTGTAGGCATACGGCAACGGAAGCTATTAAAGGCAATAAAGCTAACTACACCTGGCCTGTTGAGAAAGAGCAAAGTACAGTTTTAAAGATCTACCTGAATACTATTTTAATTTAAAAAAAAAGAATAAAAATAAAGCCTTCACCTCACAACTAATTCTGGGTCATTCTACCAAGCATTTAGCTTTTCTCTCTCAAAAGCCTTCCATGAGATTTAATTTTTTGAGTTATGCTCACATCTATGGGTTCACTCAACTCTTCCTTTATGTCAGGTAAAAACAATCAAGTAATATCCTGGGTATGCTCCTTGAACTGTGAACTTCAGGAAGACAAATACATGCATTCCAGGAAAGGGAACAACCTTCCACATCTCTGAAGGTCAATAAAGAATTATAAAAAACTGGTCAGGTCAGTGCACAAATTCAGGGGATGACTGAATGATTGAAAAAGGCTTCTGTTGTTTGCCACAGCCACAAAGGCAAAGGGAGAAAAGCAGGTTCCACAATAAGCTAGAGACAAATAATACTGGAAGGAGATAACTGATAAGCAAACCTCCAGACACCTTTGTACTGATTCTTTTTCCCTCCAACTAATGCACCAAAAAGTCAGGAAAAAAGTTAACAATGCCACACAGAAGCCATTAAAGCAATGTACTACAATGTTAGAGAGCAATCTGGGACACTCTGTGAAGAAAGAATAATTTTGAAGTGAAATTGTAAATATATCTTGGAACACTTTAGTTTCTTTAATTTTGTTTCAATTACAGGAACACTTCATAATTACTAGCTAGCATACTATATAAATAATACTTCTGACAGCATGCTGAGTGGATTATGTATTTCTGGTTTGACATCTCTGCTCACATGAAAAATGAAAGACTTATTTTTAAATCAACTTTACAGCACAGCTCTGGTTTTACTACGTGGTTTGTCTGTAGTTTAAAATATTTGTTTGGCTGAACTGTGGTCACACAACATTTCAAATCTGGCAAGTGCTCTATGTGAATTTCAGTTTATGTGAATTCAAAGTTCAATGGCAAAACTTGAATAATTCCCTACACAAAAGCTTGTTCTAGAACAAGAAATCTTTGTTGTGCTTTAGCCAAAACCATTTCCATGTGGAACAAATTCCAAATACCTCCAGAAGCAGACAAATCTAGAAAAAACAAATCTCAAATTCATACAGATGAAGGATCAGCTCCTTACACGACTTGAGTGTACTGCATTTAATTCTCACTTTAAAAACTTCAACCTCATGTTTTTGCTAAACCAACTGAGATATCCTGCAGCAACTTTTACCAAAATTATTAGCAAATAAAATCCTCAAGGAGACTTTAAAAATTACTATACATTTAGCAAGGAAAAACTTACTGTTAAACGTTTGATAAAGTTTTAATGAATGTTATCCACAAACTCATATTTTACTATTTACTACTATTTTACTTATATTTTACTACTGAATTTCAGTCTTCACTAGCAAAACATATTTCTATTGAAAATGAGTACCTGAAGTCTTTTACTTTAACATGTTCTTCATCTTCACTCCTAGAAAAAACAAGGTACAGAGTTTTACATTACATATTTAATACTAGGCACTTCTTTCCTCCCACAAATTCCAGAAGATAGAAAAATGCTACAAAATTACTGCAGCTCCAGCAAAAGCAAACCCACAAAATCTCTCAAGCATAACTGACCTAGCAAGTGATGCATAACAGTAAGGGACCAGAGCACAACTGGCAATATTCACAGTTGTGTGAACATATTAAAGGGATAGTTCATAATTATGGGGCTTTTTTTACTCTGGAGACAACAACATTACTGGAACACTCAAATAACTTCAGACTAGCCTTGATTTTATTTTTTTGTTTAAAGTTTTATAAGATAAAAATGTATGTTTTTATTTCTCATATCTTATTGTCAAGTTATAAAATAAGCAATCCTAAATTATATTAAAAAACCAAAAAATCTAAGCTATTTCCCATACCCTACAGCAATGACTGGGAAGTCATAAAGTAATAAAACTGTGAATGAAACACAGTCTTAAGTGTCTGCAGCACAATAAACACTCTCTAACAGGAAACTATAAAGGATGATTCAAACAAGGCAATGAGCTTTTCTTTCCCTATGCCCACTGCACTGTTCCCCACACTCTTTGTGAAGAATTCATGGCCTTGGTACCATGAGAATCAAGAGGAGAGGCCAAGCAGGCAGCAGGTGTCTCCCACAAGGAAAGAGAAGCAGGAGGATCCTTGGGGATTACAGCTTCAGGAAAGGTGCCAAAAGCTGCTGCCACCTGCAACTGAGCACTGAACCCAGTGAGGATCCTGAAGCCAAACTAACAAGGCAGAATCTGGGATTTCACTGGAACCCAGCAATCTTCTAGACAGTCTGAGAAACCCAAACACAAGAGGAGCTTTGGCTCACAACACCCCAAGACTTTCATTCACTGAAATTGTTTCAGATTTAGACAAGTTAGCAATAACTAATATTGTCCTTCCATTTTAAAATAAACTTACCAGAAATATCTATATACTGTGAATTCCAACAGAATTTACATTCTCTGACCATAAGGGAAGAGGTAAGGAGGAGCCAGACCAGCTGCAGTGCAGCATGTGCCCTATTAATTAACTTTCCTTCTCCCTCAGGAGCTCCACTTGGGGAAAAAAATCTAGCACAAATCTGCTGTTCAAGCAATTAGTCCTAGCCTTCAATGGATTTTTATAGCCTCTGTCCTAACAGCTGTGGTGTTGCTGATATGAATAGCTAAATTAAAACCACCTTGACTACATGAACAGAGGGTGAAATTCTACTTTGTGGCTATATTGTGGGAATATTTAATTGGTACTATAAAGGATGGGTAGCAATCAGTAAAAATGAAGAACACCAGCTTTTCTCTACTTTCTCAATTGAATTATTAAATATAGTTCCCCATTTCTTCTAAAATGGAAGCAAATATTTTAAAGGCAGAAAAGGAGGTTTTTTAGTCACGCTTTCCATGATGAGCACCATGGAAAAAATCCACGAAGAAACAACCAATTTAACCCCAAAGAAAGATTTTTACACTCCCCTTTAGGCTATGTGCCAAAGAGTGACTTCCCTGCAGAAAGGGACCTGGAGGTGCTGGCTGACAGCAGGCCCAGTTCAAGGCAGTCAGAGGGCAAAGCACATCAAACACCAGATGGGCAAAGAGGAGATTGTCCTGCTGTGCCTTCACCTGGAATATTGTGGGCACTTCTGGGCCCCAAAATGTGAGAAGATGTTTGGTGAAGATGGGAAGGTCCCTGAAGGAATTCAGAGAAAGGCAACAAAGCTGCTGAAAGGGATAGAAGGAATGTCCTGTGGGGAGTGGCCAAGGACTCCTGGTTTGTCCAGTTTGGAGAGAAGGAGGCTGAAGCCATCTCCTTGCTCTCTGCAGGTTCCTGAGGAGGGAAAGTGCACAGAGAGGTGCTGAGCTCTTCTCCCAGGTACCCAAGGACAGGACACAAGGGAATGGTTTAAAAGTTGTGCAGGGGAGGTCTAGACTGGACATTAGGAAGCATTTCTGTACCAAGAAGGTGGGGAAAGACTGGAACAGGCTTCCTGGAGAGGTGGTCAATGCCCCAGGTCTGTCAGTGTTGAAGAGGCATTTGGACAATGCCCTTTACAATGTGCCTTAACCTTTGGTCAGCCTGAAGTGCTCAGGGTGGTGGAGTGGATGATCATTGTAGGTCCCTTCCAAGGGAAACAGTTTATTCTATAAAAACACTGCATGGCTACTTACAAACAAATATTACCCAAGTAGGGTACCTTTTCCAGATACAGAAAAAGAAAATGCAACAAAGTAGCCATGTAATTAACAACCCTCCTGGCAGATATATTCCACAAAGGATTTGCTTATGCTGCATAGCCCCCTTGTAACAGCATTATTTTAACACAGTTATTATAGTTGTAATTTTAAAAGCACCTTCAAAGGTAACAACTAACAAAAATGTTTACATTCATCAATCCTGGAAGAATATGAGAATATTTCCTTTGCCTCCCTAAGTGCTCTTATTGAACTGGCACTTTTCACTCCTTCCCATTCTAAACTTCAATACTAACAAGTTTGGTAAGAGCATCATCTTAGAAAGAACTATCAGGAACCCTTAACATTGAATGAGCCTGTCCATCCTGTTCCTTAACCCAATGTTTATCCCCTTGTGCTGTACACAGACCTGCCCTGGGATGAAGCACTCCTCAAGGAACCCCACAGCTCATCTAGGCAAACAGCAAAGTGTGACAAGTTCACAGAACTCAAAATAGAAATGGATTTATTCATAAAAAATACCTTTTCTGAGGATCACCATCAACTTCAACTGTATCCCTGCAGAAACAGATCACAAAGTAAGTAAAATGAAGTTTGAAGCACAACAAGATGACTTGATAGACCCAAAAAACCTAAGTCACAGAAAAATTGTAAAGGTAACTCCACTTGATTGGTTATTTTCAGCAAGATCATTAGTCCCAGAATCTAATTACTAATTCTTATTAGCCAGTACTTTTTCAATTGATTTTTCAACTTGGACAATTATTTTTTTTATCTGAGAGATTCAAACCTCAGGGGAACATTACCAAGAAATCAACACTTTTACTGAGCAGATAAAAATCAAAAAGTGATACTGAAAAAGAATGGAGACTATTTTTTCTTCCCCAGAAACTAACATATTGCTGGAGTTTTCAGTTATCCACACATCACACTTGAATCTCCAAATTGGCAATTGCATCAACACCCACAGTACAGCTACTGCAGACCAATGGACTACGTATGGGAGAAGCAATGATTAAAGAGCTTTAATAATCACAAATACATGTACATCTCCTATTCCCCACCTTTTTAAACATGGATATTTTGCACTAGTTCAGAGACAGTTATAGTGCACTACACCTGCACCTTGTGTCCCTTACTTCTGCCTGATTTACACAACTTTGAGCATATCACTTGGTTAACTGGCATCTTTTTGACAGTTATAGAACAGGATAAAACTGTTGACAGTGTCCCCTCAGCAGTCAGGTATGACCCACTTGAAAAGAATGAGCACTACAAGAGGACAGTCCCCATTTTTAGGTCACAGGTCTGTCACCACATTTAAGGAAATGGCTGCTCTGGTCACTGAAGCAGCAGTTCTAGATTAAACAATTCAATCAGTAATCTTGTCTCATGCTTGAAGGTAAAATTCTAGTATGTGCCTGGGAAACTTCAAACAACTTAATGTGAAAAACGCCAATCACTTGTTTTTAAAATTATAAAAGTTTAATAGCAATAAAATGATTATAAAAATAGTAACACAATTAGAGTAATAACAATTTGGACAAATTGAATTAGGACAATATGAGACAATAGAAACAAAGAATTACGGATGTCCGGGTACCTTTTTCTGGGCAGCACGAGCCCGATAAAGGACTCCCGTTAACAGAGGATTAACCCTTAAAAGCAACAGCCTGCTGCACATTCATACACCTCATACATGATGCATAAATTCCATTCAAACACAGGATTCTGTCTGGTCTTCATCAACTTCTCCCCTCTAATCCTAATAGTGCCTTCGAGGCGGGAAGAAGTTTGTTTCTTCTGATAAGAAGGCCATAAATTCTTTTTCTCTGAAAGATTTAGGTGTCCTATGGCTGCTATCTCGCTGCGAGTCCTTTCTTTTAAATAAAACATCCTACATAGCATAGTTTCTATTTTAACAATGTTTATAACCTAAAACTATATTTAACACAGTACTTAAGAAAATTAATGGAGCATTATTTTCTAACACAACACATATTATATTCATTTTAATATTTGCGAAAAGCCAACCATAAAATACATGCATTTTTCACATTAAGAACTTGCTTTTACTAGTAGGCAAAGAAGGAGAAAAAAACCTCTAAAAATTAGGATTGAAATTTCAGCATTAGAGGCACATTATCCACACACTTCAGGCCAGGAAATGGCATTACAGAATCCTCCATATATCCCTTGGATTTAAGGATTACTTTATCTATTTTTAATAATTGGGGACTGTCAAAGAACACATTTGGAAGACACTGTAAATGTAATGGTAATGAACAAAGGAAAGAGGATTAGAAGGGAGGGAGGAAGAGGAAAAGGAAAGACAGCGACCATGTTGCACAAACAAGAGACGAATGTCTCAGGTTGAGACACGGAGATTCGATTCACTTACTGGTTGTCAGAATCACTCCCCTTGCGCTTCCTGGGGATGTCAGGCAGGGCAGCACTGAAAGCCGCGCTGCTGGCAGCCTTGGGGGCGGGGTTCATGAGGCCGGGCCCTCCGCAGGCCACGCACGGGCTCCCATCCGCTGAGAACTGGTCTGGCAGCGAGAATAAAGGCTCAGTGTCCAGCAGGAGCTGCAGCACGCTGCACCCACCCTCATCCTCACCGGCACTAAAAGCTGTCTGTGCGTGGCTCTGTGCCTCTGACACAAACAGCCAAGGCTGCGCTGCCGCAAGCCAAGGCCAGCAAAGAGCGCACACCTTCCCACAGAGCTGCAATGATCTCACCATAAAAACTGCCCAATGTTGAAAACTCCACAATGGTTCTGCTGCAGCTCTGACTTTTTCATTCCCCACTGCTGACTATGGCATTTGAACAGAAGTTTTCTTTCTTTGTTCTTCAGAGAAGCCAAAATTTGTACTTGTGACCTGTCTGTAAGTGTAGAAGTAATCTACACACCAAGGCGATACAGAACAGCTCTCCCCTCACACAACCTTTGCACTTCAGTTCCCCCCACCTCAGACATCCTGCTGCAAGATCACCAGCTGTGCCATTTGTCAGCAGATCAAAATACTGTGGCTCAAACAAAATGAAAATTAAAAATACATTGTGAACTGTTTTTCAATCAAGTGAGATATCCAAAAAATGGAAGTTTGCTATAATCATATTCCTGACATAAAATCCACAATTACACAGAACATCTGCCATGGAAGTTGGAAGAGTCTCAAAAACTTGTCAAGTTCCCTTCACAACTCTCCTCTTAAGGAAAACTGTTGTTTCTGGGAAGGACAGAAGAGAAATCACCAGCCAAAGCAATCCTAGCAACCTAGTGGGAAAGGAGAGCAGTCTCCAGGAACATGAGCACTATTACACTGTTTTTCTGTCTCAATGCAGCTATCACAAAGAATCACCCAGCTGATGTTCAGGCAAAGAGCCAAAGAGCCAGATTTAACTCTGCTTCACAAATGCAGGAACTCCTCCAGGCTCCATGTGCCAGTGAGGACAGATGAGAGATGAAGCGATGTCGTTTAAGGAAGTGAGCATCTCCTGCTTCTAGCCGGGTGCAAAAACCAAGAGGATTACTTTGAAAATCCAGCAAGAAGAAAATCTGGACAATTTCTTGTGAGCCTTCTCTCTTTTTTAAGCATCTGTGCTGTTTGCAAAAATGTAGAAATGTGCAAAAACAATGATACAAAGGATATTTTTTTCCCCTCTTAGATGTAAACACATCTCACATCAGAAAAATGACCTTCTAGGTTTTCATTTGGTGTTGGAATACAGCTCTGGAGAGTTAAATGAAAATAGGCTAATACTCCAACAACAGCTTGCCTGGTCTTCCACTAATCCTCTCTCTATCAAATCAGACAACACAAAGTCAGCCCCTGTTTTATTTTAGAAAGCTCTTTAACTCATTAAGTCACACAGGAAGTTTCAGAAAAAAGAGATAGAAACAAAGAATCAACAAATACTTGACAAATATGTGACAACTTTTGGACATCTGTGACACCAAGAAAATCTAGTTATTTCAAATGCACATCACATTCAAATTAGGGATATTAAAAATATATTAAAGAAATTACATTATAAATACTATAAGTATTTCTATAAGACAGTGATAGATGTCTGAAATATTTTTATGATGAGTCTCCTTAAAAGTTTCATCTTCTATTTCTGTTATTAACACAATTCCAAAACAAACAAAAAAATGCTGACAGATGCAAAGGGACTGTTTTTTAAAAGGAGCAGTTTTAATTTGCCCAGGTCAGAGCATCTTATAATTCCTGATTAAGCTATTGAAGTACAATCAGTCTGGATGAATATTCATAAAAATGTACTTACTAAGCAGCAACCTACATGGTTCCAGGAGCAGAATGCCTTCAGCACAACAGATCCCTTCGTCCTGGAACAAAGCAGGACAGCACAGACCCACTGACCTAAATACTGCTCTGCACACAGATGGCCAGCCTGCTTTCCAAACACTTCCCTTTAAAGGAACAAAATCCAAGGCCACTTTTACAGGTTTTCCAATTTCTCTTCAATATTATTAAACAACCAGGTTTTTTTCCTCACACCCAAGCAACAATTTCTGAATACTGCACTTATCTCTTCTACCTTTACTAACAACACCCATTTTCATTATTCTTAAGCGAGAAAACAAAATATATTCAGATTACCAGTAACAGTGACCTATGAAGAACTTCCACACTACAATTATTAGGTGATAAATTGAATCCTTAACACTATCCCTGGGACAAACTAAATGCCAGTACGATGGGTGGCTGATCTTGGACAAAAATGTAAGGTTAAGAATCTGTACTGATCCCTGACATGCTCGGCATGCAGTCTTTATATACATACGTATATATGTATATATACTTAAAAGCCCATGAATCAAACCCAAACCCCCACCAACAATGCAAAAGAAAATTAACAGAGAAATAAATAAATTTAAAGCTTCAGAACAACCAAGCATAGCTGAACAGTGATTATGTGGAGTTGAACAGAAGTGAACAAATCTTTTTCGTACCTATCGCTCACTAAGCAAGAAATGGGCAGAAACAGCTCCAAAAGCCAAGGCAGCTTTGAAAAGTCAGGAAGGGTGATGGAAAATAATCTCTGAGGGCTCCATAAGAGCCATCACTATGATACTGGGTGATTCCAGGGTGCTCACTCTGTCCCTGGAGTGTCCCAACCTTGTGTAGGCTGTGCTGAATGATTTCTCTCCCTCTCTGCCACACCACTTTGAGAGAGCTGAATAATGAATATAACAATCTTTAGGTTCACAAAAACAATGGTCTAGAATGTACCCCAATAACCAGGATGGGCTTCTATGATCAGAAAAAGTTGGATTTTTACTTGTCATTTGAGCACCTGGCTGAATTTCTTAGACTTGCATTTTTGGTGAATATTTTCATACTACTGGCATCACAACAAACACCTCCAAACACACATGAAGCAAACTGAAATAATTCCCAATTTCATAGCCCGCTTGCTTTGTGAGAAATAATACCCAGAAAGACCAATCTTTATAACAAGTTGATGTTTCTATAAAACCAAAATCATTAGTGAATTCTAAAACCACTAGAAACAGTTTAAGTCAACTAGAGATGTTATGTTTGACCACACTAAAGGCTGTTATTCACACTAGTCTGGTTTGCAAGCCAAATAAAATTCCAGCTGAGAAATGACATTTTTACTGTTCATTCCATTGCTAATGCCCTGGAATACTGATAACCAGATTTTAATGGCAAGTGAACAGTTCCTCCAATACATGTCTATTATAACCTATGTCTTTCTCTCAGCATTAAGCCTATGTGCTTATCTATATTACAAATCAAAAATATTTTTAAAGCCTTTTATGCACATTGGGACAGATTAAAATAATGAGAATAATACAGGAATTCCTTCACTGGAATTACTCCCTCTGTGAAAAAGCAAAGACCATCCAAACAGTACAAACACATATGAAAAAAAGCTCCTTCCCAGTAAGTGTATGTGAAATGAAAAAAATGTTTGTTGAACACTCATTTTAGTGTATTTCATAAGTGAGAAAACAAAGTATTTAAGGGATGGTTATCAATACATATTTCTCATAACAAGAGCATCCCCTACTCTTGTGGAAAATAAATAATTGGATTCCCCAAGGGGCTGGCAAAGAAGGGAACAACTGCCAAGGAGCTGCAGAAAACTGCATTTTGGGGGGAGATACAAAGACAAACCAAATCAGCCACATTCCTGTGTCAGCAAAGTTTCTGTGTCAGTCCCATGCAATGCATTGAGAAACAAGGCTTGGGAGACTCCACATTTCTACAATTACTGACAATAATATTTTCTAATCCTGTGCCACATTCCTGAGCTGTTTTCACGACCAACAGTTTCAAGGTTTTCAATTCCTAAGCAAACACCGGCTTTAAGAAAAGGTTTATGGCCAAACTCCAACAGCCATAAAAAGGGAGATTCATGTGATTCAATAATGATGTCCACAAATGAAGTAGCCATTCTGGTCCCTCTGGGAGGGAGGAAGACATTTCTAGGGTGATTCATCTCTCCCCAGAATAGATTCCTCCATTTGGCTAGATGAAATAAAACAGTTCTAGGGTGATTCATCTCAATCTAAAATAGATTCCTCCAGTTGGTTAGATGAGATACAGCCCAAGAGTGCCTATCTCTAGTCAGTAATTACACAGGGACCAAAGGAACTGCCTCAGATTGGACATCTAAAGATAAGTGAGATGAAACCCACCCCAAGCACAGAAATATCACACAATTATTTAACACCAGAGCCACAGACAGCACCTGTTTGTACCACATGCAACAAGTCCAAGCCCAAGACAGGCTTTCCAAATTATTGGCCTAATTATGCACTACCTCAAGACCACCCACCCCAAGCAGGATTAGCTTTTCTGTCTAGGTTTGCAGGATACACATTAGCACTCCAAAATTAGCAGGAAGACACAAGTCATGTAGTATTAATAAATTAATAAATTAATTAAAGGAGCTGTCAGTCAGCCCTCATTTATTAGCCAGTTTAAAAAAGAACATCCAAATTCAGCTACCGAGATATTACACTAAAATGGGCTTGAAATAAAATATCATTAAAGAAGTACATTTATAAAGCTTATGGTGACACTTCCCATAGTCTGGGAATAAGCGAGACTTGGAGAAATGTGGTAGCTCTGCAGCTAACTAAATTAATAATGTGTTAACACTGGCACAACCTTTCCAAAAATAAGGAATTTTTAACCCAGCTTCCTAATTTTAAACACTTTCAAAGGAAAGGAGAAGAAAGAGGCTGCTTTGAATTCAGATTTCTAAGATCGCAAATACCACAGACTACTAAAATGTGTATTTTCCAAAGGTGTGTATGTGTTATGCACAAAACCCTCCAGCCAGGAATCTGAGCTCTGTTTAAAGAACTCCAAATTCTGGTGTAAGCCAGTGTGAAGTGGCACCTGAGGGTTGTGCAGCCCAGCCAGAGCAGTTCCTTTTAGACTGTAAAGTTCTCTCACAAATAACTTAGTTTTTTGGTGTGGTTTTGTTTTTGTTTGTTTGCTTGTTTGGTTTTTGGTTGGTCAGCTGGGGTTTTCCTGGAGGTTTTGTGGGGTTTTTTTGCTTGTTTGGGTTTAGTTTGTTGGGGGTTTTTTTTAAGATGTGAGATAAAGCAGCTCTGCTGGGAGGAAAGGCTGAGGGAATTGGGATGGTGCAGCCTGGAGAAGAGAAGGCTTTGGGGTGACCTCACTGTGGCCTTGCAGTGCCTGATGGGAGCCCACAGGAAAGAGGGAGAGAGACTCTGGACAAGGGGGAATGGGGGAATGGCTTCACACTGACAGGCAAATAACTCCACACCATGTCAATTGTTTTATTTTACTATGGAGTTAAATCCTAAACTTTTAATTTATTTTAGTGAATTCTTGCTGCAGATACTCATTAGAGAGTGTGACAGTGCCACACACAGCCTGCACACCTACAGGAGTGTGTGAGAAAGAAAGTTACAGGTGCTGGGACATCAGCTTAAGGTCCTGCACATCTGGACACCTGTACAACAAAGAACTGTATTTTCTACACATAGCTGAGAGCTACACTAAAAAATTCTTTGTATTTATTTATTTTAGACCTTTAAAACAGGCCATGAAAAGCATTTTCAAACTTACTTACAGCAAGTCTGGCATCAAGCTCATCACCTGCAGTACCTCATATTGAAAGCTGGGATAACAATCTTTGGAATGAAGCTCTGAAGACAGGAGAAATGTATGGACTAAAGCAGCTTATTCTTTCCTCAAATTTTATAACCATGTGCAATGCAGGAGCAAGATACAGAGAATTTAGCAATGAAAGCATCTTATGAACAACACTATCCAGAGAATAAACTCTTCTACGTTAAGAACATTGGATTTGGTTTTAATCTCACAAAATGAAAAAAGGAAAAAATTAAAACACTCTGAATTACATACATTTAAATCAAATAATAACACAGGCAACTGATTGCTCTCTGCATCTATTTTTACTCATTTTCATCACCTGGAAGAGAAGCAGTGAAAATCACGACTTACCACTTAAATGACACATTCACTTAACAGATCCCAAACACAAAATATTTGGCCAAATCTATCAGTGTATTAAAAAATAAAAGAAGGCAGGAGGCAGCTACTGGAAAGATCCTCCCCAAGGCCTGGAAAGGGCTCCCTGCTTTCCCAGGCACTTGCATGTTCGCACCAGGTAGAAAGCACTGATAGGAATCGGGAGTCTCATATATCATAGCTCATGTCTGGGAAAAACAACCAACAAACAAAAAGCAAACCACAAACCCTCTCCAGTTATATACTCCTTGAAAAATAGTGGACAGTTGTTTTCTTGTAAGTTTTGGAATCATACGTTTGCAAAATGCTGAGTCCTATCAAGTGAGCTGCAGAACTTCCATGGTTTTAGCTGGCCCTGCAGTCCAACCAGGGAATTTTCAAAAGTTCACAATTATTCACTTCCAAAATCACTCAACAAATTATTTCTTCTTACAATGAATTTGATTCTTGGATGTGAAACGTCCAAGAGTTAGAGTTTGAGTTTAGAGTTTGTTTTTCATACTGTGCAAATGTACCAACAATAAGGTGTACATTCAAGTGAAAAGAAAAAAACCCACCCTAAAAACTACTAAGCAGGTAAGTTTAGTGTAGCCATATCCCACAAACAATTTAGATACTTTTGTCTTAAAAACAAAGAAACCCAACATTTGTTTCTTTAAAATCCACTAAAAGAACAGGTATAAACATAGGCAGCAGAAGAAAGCAGGGATGGGGGCTAATCTCACAATAAAACATGAAAGCCTATGGTTCACTGATTTCCCAAATCTACTTGTAAATGGAAATGCCTGTGCATTTGGAGCTTTCTTCATTTTGATGACTTCCTCGCCTCTCAGTATATGCACGGTATAGAAACAATGTATCTTAAGTTTTAAGCACAGTTGAGCAGACTGCAAAAACGCTACCAAAAAATAAACCCCTGCACCACCACTTTGTGTTCAAACACTACATTTGCCACAGAATTTTACAACAGTATTTAAACAATCAAGCAGCCCAGACAGAAAAACGTCAAAGATTTAAGACAACAAGGATCCCCACATACATTAAAGCACACACAACCCAAGAGGCATTTAGAAAACAACTACTAAACCTATAAGAATTGGTGCTAACTACACAGAGCTGCAGTGATGGCTCAGGAGGGATCGGAGCATTTGTGTTTCCCCACACTCCGTGCAAAACGCTCCCTTCCACTCGTTTCCAAGCAGGAACACGAGCAGCAGCTGGTAGTTTACAACCAGCCTTGATTTAGTAGCAGAAACTTATGATTAAAAACATGGAAAGATCAAACCTTGGTCGCCATACAAGCGTGGGCACACATACACACACAGAGAAAAGTCAGAATCACTGTACCTAAAATACTAAATCATGTTTACCCACCAAAAAAAAAAAAAAATCTAAAACTAGAATTTTAGGAATGCAAGGCTACGTGTGTACCAGAAACAGAGAACTACAAACTTAGTTAAAAAAAAAAAAAACAACCCGAAAGCCCCCAGATTTTTAGCGCACATGGCATCAGTATGATGGCACATCTGTCACAGCAGTACAGCACAGTGACCATTACACAGGCGGATGCCAAGGGGACGGTGCCAGGCTCTTGTCAGCGCTGCCCAGGGACAGGACAAGGAGCAATGGACAAACTGAACACAAGAAGCTCAGCCTGAGGAAGAACTTCTGCACACTGAGGGTGGCAGAGCCCTGAACAGCTGCCCAGGGAGGGGCTGGAGTCTCCCTCTCCGGGGACATTCCAACCAGCGGGACACGCTCCTGTGTCACCTGCTGCAGGTGACCCTGCCTGGGCAGGGGGGTGGACTAGACCATCTCCAGAGCTCTTTTCCAACCCCATTCCGTGATCCTGTTTCCGTGTGGGCGCTCCAGGTACCTCCACTGAACTCCACCGAGCGGGAGCAGCGAGCCAGGAGCGCCCAGCGGGAATGAGCCACAAACGCGAGCGGCCCCGGAGCGGCACCGGGCACAGGAGCGGCCCCGAGCGCCCTCACGGAAGGACGGCACTGCCCCACGGGCACCAGCCCCACAACAACACCCGCCCGTGCCACATCACCGAGGCGGGCGGCCGGACAGACAGACAGACAGACACAAACAGGCAGACACACCCCACACACGGCGCCCGCCATCGCCCCCCACGCACGGAGCTACGCGCGGCAGGGGCGAGGGGGACGGGGCGCGCACCGCCCGCTCCTCGGGCGGACCCGCTCCCACCTTCCGCCGCCCGCCGCTCCTCCTCGGCGCCCTCGGCGCTTCCCGCTCCTGCTTCGGCCATGGCGGGCGGCCCCGTGCCCCGCTCCACAGCGCCCCCGGCACCGCCGGCATGCAGGGGGTGAGCTGAGGTGAGCAGAGGAGGAGCCGCCGGCGCCGGGGAGGGACCGCGGGCTGCCCCGCCAGCCGCCCCTCAGCGCCCCCGCCCCGCCATGTTCCCGCCCCGGCCCCGCGCCGCCTCTCGCGAGATGTGCGGCCGTGGCGGCGCCGCCGCGCTGCCGTCGCGGCGGCCCCGCTGGTCGGGCTCGGTCCGCGGCGTGCGGCGAGCCCAGGGCTGCAGGGACAAGTGCAGTAACTGCTCGGGAGACACAGCGATGACTTATGGCAGAGCTGCACAAGCCTGGGTGCTCTGTGGTGACACCGCAAATAAAGCACTACCGCCCGGCTTTTCATGCCGTTATTTATATAAGGAAATTCAAAGTTTCCAAGCACAGCAACATATAGACGTGATGGACCTGGAGTATTTTGCCGAGTTAGCAATGTATACACAGACATACATCAGCACGGATTTACTACATCCTTAAAATATGTTAGTTCCAGGATGTCCTTGAGTAAGGGATGCTGGCAGCTGCCTCTTCCACTGGTTAGATCTCCATTCTTGCTGGTTAGGCTTGGAAATATACAAAGATCTTACATGAAAGAATATCCTGACTTAAGATAATCTTGACGTGTTCCCCATTTTGCAACACTTGGGCTGGCACCCTGCCCATGTCCAGGGGCTGGGCAGGGCTGGTGCTCCTTCCTCTGGGTGCTCTACAGAGGATGCTTCATCCGAGGAAGTGTCAGAATCTTGGAATAGTTTTGGTTGGCAGAGGCCTCTGTGAGTGCTCAGAGAGCAGTCCCATCTGTCAGTGAAAAGTAACATAAAATAGGGATAACTTCCACAGGGGTGCTGAAGTGTGTGAGCAGAGCTGTAGCTGGCTTTTGGCGGTACCAGGAGCACGGTTCTGAAGTGAACCTGCCCGTCACGGTGCTCTGGTTTACACCCTGGAGTGCCGGTGTGAGGGAGGGGTGTTCCTTGAGCACAAAGACCTCAAGGGGCACCTGTAAAAGATTAGTGTGTTCCAGCTATTCCCAGGCATTCCTTCCCTCCAGCAGATCCCACTAGAGCCAGTCTGTGAAATGAAATGAAACCTCTGCAACACAAATGTCTTCCACATGACAGAGCCTCTATCACTGTCCTGCCCCGTGTTGGTGCAGCCTGTGCCCACTCAGTTCCACTTGCAGCTGTGACAGAAGAGGCTTTTGCTCAAGCACACAAATCCTGTGAGATTGGTCTACAGCCATCTCTATGGGCTGCACAGCTGCTGCTTCTCTCTCTTAGGGCATCACAATATAAGAAAAATCTAAAGCTCTTAGAGAGTGTCCAAAGTAAGGTTATGGAGATGATGCTGAAGGGCCTGAAGAGAAAGCCACACACGGAGCAGCTGAGGGCACTGGTCTGTTCAGCAGGAGAAGAGCAGACTGAGGTCAGAGCTCACAGCAGCTCTGCAGCTTCCTCAGGAGAGGAAGAGGAGGAGCAGGCCCTGATCTCTGCTCTGTGTGACCAGGGACAGGACCCAGGAATGGCTGGAACTGTGTCAGGCAGGCTCAGTGTGGATATCAGGAAAAGGTTCCCACAGAGGCTCTGAACAGGCTCCCTAGGGATGGTCACAACCCCAAGGCTGCCAGAGCTCCAGGAGCGTTTGGACACCGCTCTCAGGGATGCACAGGGTGGGATTGCTGGGGTGTCTGTGCAGGGCCAGGAGCTGGACTCAATGATCTTTCCAATTCAGGATACTCCGTGATTCTATGAACTCAGGCACCAGAAAACCTGAAGTGCAGATGGTATTTATTGCTCACCAGTGAGGCCAGAGCTGCAGAGTTGGTGACGTGTGTGTGGAGGAAGCTCCTTCTGCAGGTGTTCTTCTCCCGCTGTTCTGGGGGCTTTCCCCTGTCTGTTATCAGTAATGGGGATCCTGTGGATGTAGCTGTAATATTTTGGCAAGAGTAGCTGTAATATTTTGCAAAGGATATTATGTTCTTTAATCATCAGTTCTAGTGGTCACTGTCAAAGTTACAATTTATGTCTTTAGAGCTGCAGACAAGGAATCAGTTTTTTCAGGTCTAGGGGCAGACTCTTAAGATAAAAACACCCTTTGCTAAAAGTAAGAAAATGTGACTAAATATATGTGAAAAGGCAGCTGGGATTGGTCTCTTCTCCCAAGTAAAAAGCAGTAGGATGAGAGGGAACAGCCTCAACCTGTGCAAGGGAAGGTTTAGATTAAATATTAGGACAAAATTCTTCATTGAAGGATTGGAAAAGTCTGTCAGGAAAGCAGTGGAGTCACCAACCCCAGAGATATTTAAAGCATGTGTGGATGTGGCACTATGGGATGTGGTTTAGTGGTGGATTTGGCAGTGTTGAGACTCAATGAGACAATGATCTCCAGGATCTCCTCCAAGCAAAATGATTCTGTGATTCTAAAGGCTTGAGAAAGTAAATCCTCACAAAACACTGTGAGCCAAATACATTCGAACATCTATGAATTTTATGTAAAGTGGTGGAAAATCAGCAACTCACCTAGGTAGGTAGAGTTGGGGGGGAAAAAACCCAACCAGAAAACAAAGATGTGTTTCTTTCATTGCTTTCAGAGATGTAGGCAGAATTCACTTGTCTGAACTCCAAAATATAATCTTGAGGATGGTTCCTCAGACGCAATCCTGAACTCCATTCATGACATCTTTTATAATTGGAAGCTCCCAGCACATTTCCCATCTGATGTGGAAGCTCCTTGTCTGTGTGGGAGTGGGCAGCTCAGCATCTTGCCCATGGCAGAGCCCAAGGGTTAGAGCACGTGGAAGGAGTGGGTGCATGGCTCTGACAGAATATTCCAGGGAAGAGGCCAGGGAATCGTGGCTGCCAGCTGGGGATGCTGCTGAAGAAATCCCATGGTACTTCTCTGAGAGTCTCAATGCACACTTCTTCATAGGTTGCTTTTCCCCTTGGAAATCTGACTTTTCATTTTAGAGATTTATGTTCCATGTAATCCCACTGTTACTACTGCAAATATCTCTCTCTCTCTATATATATATATGTATGTGTATCTCCATCATGATGGGTTCATCTGGTCTTGCAGAGTTTGCATTGAACGGAAGGAATTACAAACCCTTTCTGCCCTAAACGAAATAAAAACCAGAAAAACAGAAGGGAGAGCTAAAAATCAGTTAAGATGCTGTTGCTGTCTTTGATAAACTGCTAGCATTAATGCACACTTATTTTATTCATATACCACAACTGATACTGAGAAAATTTTTATGGATTTATTCCCAGGAAGCTTAAATGTCATCTTTTGTCCTGCTAAAATAATGTCTTGCCCCAGTTTTGAAGCTGGGAGCTCCCTCCTCCAGGTTTGCATCATCAGTGGACACCCAAATGCTAAGGGGATTTCAGAAGTGAGTCAGCCACACTGGCTGAAAATGTTTCAGGGACTCAGGAACCACTGAAAACGGCTGTTGTTATAAAGCTCAATGAGGTAAACATTTAAATAGTTCCCCAAAACTGTTTTAACAAGCTTAATAGCTAAACAGCTATTAAATACAAACTCTTTCCACATGGGAACATTAATGAGGATTTAAAATCTTTAGTTTATATTTTTTTAACTGACTCACTAGAAACAGAACTACTGTACCTGATTCACATTTTGTTTCATATTTTTTAGTGCAGTTGCAATTCACTGCAGAAGTTCTTGGCACTAGGTCAGAAAATCAGATCAGTCTCCTGGCAGTATTTCTGCCTGTACTCCTCCTCCATGGTCAGTGTCATGTCAGCCAGCGCTTGGATAATTCCTACAAACATAAAGAGCTGCCAGATCATTAGCACAGATCTGAGACATCATTTATTAGAGTAGTTTCTTATTCAAAGGTGATGACTGGGCCCTTCGCTGAACCTTTAATGCATGACAGTAACTGGTGTTTATAGCACAGTTTGCCTCCAGTCTTGGCAGAGCAGGATCCCAATTTATGTAAGGCACTGATTTTGAGTAGGCCACACTTGATATTTTTGCCCCATTTTAAGGTGAGCACTTTCTCTTGAGTAGCTTTCAGCAATAAAATAGGGAACAGAACGCTTTATGTAAGCCACAGATAGCCTCTTTTCTCCAAACAACTTATACAACAACGTGCTAAAGGGGTAAAAATAACAATCAAACCTCGGGGCAGTTAAATAATAGCCTGAGACTGAGCTCTTAAAGTGTCTGTATTATTCCTCCTTTTCCCCTCTTCAGTCACATCCAAAGCATAGCATGTCTCAGCTGTTTCCCAGGACTGGCAGATGCTGTCCCAGTGATCTGCATTTCTTTGTGTATTTGCTGGGGCCAAGCTGGCCCCACACACCTCACTGACCTGGGAGAGGGAACACAGGGAGTCATTCTCCATTAATAGGGTGACTTGTGTTACTTCTCACAATAACACCCCTGGGGAGAGCCAGAAAACTTTTTTCTGCTGAAACTTAATAGCAGGAAACTGAAGTGACCCAGCTTTGTAAGTCCAAACAGAGATTTTTCATAACCTTCTCTCCCAGAACACAAATGTTTATGGTTTCCCCTCTGACTCTGGTCTTATATGGCTGAAAGTACAGAATCAAGTGTGGTTTTGTAGAGAACATATGAACAAGTTGGCTAGTTACAAGAATTAATCCTTTTTTTTTTTAATCTATTTCAGTCTGTTATTTGTATTTTATTCTGCTTGAAGGTCACTGGATTACTTTTAAGGGCACCACAAGCAATTTACTGACTTTGCTACAAATTCTGTGACTATGTATGGGTAAAATCTGGTAAAATCACTTTAAAGTAATATTTCTTCCCCAAATCAGAGACTCTTTAGCCTCAAAAAGTATATAAATAGCATAATCATACTGTCATTGGCCAATAGGAAAAATAAGCTCTTTAAAATTATTTGTGCTTAATAATTACTATGAAAGCCCCTCAAAGAAGCAAAAAACAGGAAAAAAAATATCAGGCTTCACTAGCAATGGACTGTGCTGTGCTGGCACAATACTGGGAGCATGGATTATGTTGTGCAGTATCCAACTGGATTGTGACAGGGATATACTCTGGCATTGGACATCTGGGAATCATGGACAAATTCCTTTCCTGATGAAACAAGTTTAGCTTGAGAAGAGCATCTGAATCCTACTTGCACTTC